GCACGCCAACCCGAGCCGTCTGGAAATCTGACAATCCCCCCAGAAATCCATCGCCCTCAAAGCCCGCCTCGGACACGGTAGACTCTTGCCCTGCGCACTCTTCATCCGCCATCTCTTGGTCGATTTCGTCTTCGCAGGCTGCGGTGCTGCAAGAACTCACTCTTCTCCTGGCTGGCCTCGGCAGCGCCATCAGCGCCGACACTTGCAGAAACTGATGGTCGTCCACAAAGTGCTAAGAGCAGGGCTCCTCGTTCCATGCTGAGTTCTGCCACCTTGAGATCTTGAAAGCACCACCCACCAGCCTATGAGAACAAAGATTGCAGCTGCATGCGGCCCGGAGTAGGTTTAGAAGGCACTCCGACGTGTCGAAGCCGCAAGCAAGGCGCACATTGCAGACATGGTCATCGCGCAAGCCGCCATTGGACAACCTGCATAATCCATCAAAAAACAGTCTGGGCCATCCCTCGATCGCTTGCGCTTCTTCTTCCCGTGATACGTGTAGAGGCAAGGGAGCTGTCCTTCTCCCTGTCTATCTATCTATCTATCTATCTATCTATCTATCTATCTATCTATCTATATATATATCTCTCTCTCTCTCTCTCTCTCAATCGCAGGAGCCTCTCGACCTCCGCTTCCGCCGTGAGTCGCCTGGGGACGGACTGCGAGGGAAAGGCGAGACGAGAAGGAGTGGAAGTGCCACCAGGGGGCAGCTGCTGCTCATGGAGGGCGCGCTCCCTCTCATCCCGAAGCTCCTGCTCGCAAGCCTCCAGCCTTGACACAAAGAAGCGGGGCGACATCGACGCACATGCTCCTTCCGTGCCATGCGAAGCTGCTCAGTGATTCGAGTGCCAAGAGGCTTGAGCTTCAATGTGTCAGTGCTCTGAATCAGCTCCGTGCACCTCGTGGATATGCGCTTGTCACAGCCTTCTTCGGGTCTTTGTCTTGCATTACGACTCACATCAGGCTGTGGTGCAGAAAGCTTTAAGCCCTTTCAGGCCAGACCAGTGTCTGCTTTCACTTCCCAGGGTTCGACTGACGCTCAGTCGAGTGCTGCGGAAGTCTTTGGGTCCAAAGCCATGCAGCACCAAGAGCGACGAACAAGCGCACACCCTGTATTACTGCAGGAGAGGTCTGGCTGACAACAACCATCAACCGTTAGCAAGATTCCCTACAACCGGCGTGATCCTCAGGCCCTGACTGCGCTCGCAGGCTGAGGATCTCATGTTGCTGCCTCAGGCGGCGCATGCTGCTACGCAGGTCGGGGCTCAGAGCTTCAACTTCCCCGAGTTCCTAGAGTCGGCTACTCGCTGTCCACTCATATGCTTGAACCACCACCCGATTGAAGGCTACGCGCCAATGCCCATCTTGCTGCCAGTGGCTGGTTCCGGAGCCAGGCAGTCTCGACATCTTGACTCGCGCTGGCCTGCATTGCAGTCTTGGTCTGCTGCTGTCGTCTATCCAAACGAGGGGATTCGATGCACAGCACGCGCAGGATAGTGCGTGGCATTGAGTAGCTAACTGGACTCAAAGGGGATGATTCCTAGTCCAACTTTGCAGGACAGCTCGAAAATCCTGTACGAAGTGGCGTCTTCCACTGAGACTGGGCTCACCCCTCACACCCTTTTTTGCATGATTATGATTTCGCTTGAAACGAAACTCAGCTACCCGCTCTCCCACGACTCCCACATGGGGCTATTCGTGCTTGGCCAGCCGACATGCCATCTGAACGAAACTGGATCCCCTGCGTCCTTAAGTACTGGCAACATGCCAAAGCTCGCCTCAGACACGGGAGAGACGAGGTCCCACTCATCATCCTCTCTCTCTTCGTCGTTGGTGCTGACACCGCCTGTGCTTTGTGGATCTTCCTGGCTCCTCGGGAGCGGTGTGCGCTGGGTGCATCGCCGCAAGCACAAACGGAAAGTGACACTGCTGCCCAAGGCGCTGTGCAGGGCCCGCATGATGCAAAAGCGCAGGAGTAGTTGCAGGCCCGCCTTCTGCTGCCACAGGCTCCTGTGGTCATGCAGGCCGTCTCGGATCAGGTTTAAGGGTCTGCCATCGTACAAAGTTTCAGGTTCCGTGCTTGCCGCTGTTGCTCCGCAGTAAGCCTTGAGCTCATCTGTGCAAGTCAAAACTCATCCTCCGCAGTTTTGAGGATTACATTGGGCATATATTGCTGCTGAAGAGAAGGAGACTTCCGCAAGAAAGCCTGGCAGAAACCAATCTGCTGGCCTCGGCACCACATGGTGCTGTCACCGACGACTGCGCCTTGCAGCACCTGGGTTCGTGCTGCTTGCTGACTAGCATGTCAGGGCCATCGGGCTCTCAGGGGACATTTTGCAGCCTGCAGGCTCACACTCGAGGAGCTTAGCCACAAGCTTCGCAATTAGATTCTGGTCGTCCGCATCCCGCCCCAAGCAGCGATGGAACAACCTGCGCCATGAACCAGGCACAGAGCGTGGAGCCACTACGTCCTGCCCCCTCCCTCCCTCCCTCAGTCCCTCCCTCCTATCTGTCCTTTCTAGCTGATTTCTCATTGGATTTCGTCTTCTCTGTCTTTCCGATCTTCAGGCCCCGGCTGAGCTTGCAGACAGAGGATCTGGTTTTGCTGCCTGATCTGCGACATCTGTCAGGACCGAGGGAAGGACTGCTGGACTGCTTCAGGGGTCTAGGCTCAAGGCCCACGATTTTTTTGAGGTAGGGCTAGGGGTAATTATTGGTCGGAAGACGCGGCTCAGATGCTGAAAGCTCGATCTGCAACATCTGGTCGCACGGCGGTTAAGCTTAAACCTTCTTTCCGCGTCTCGGCTCCCGGCAAAGTCAGCTGCAGATTGCACTGCGCAAGCTGGTCGTGGAGAGCCGTCAGCCTAAGACCACAAGTTCAGCAGCCTCTGTAATGGGAAGCATGTCAAAGATTCAGCCTACTCCACACAAGCTGCGACAATGAAAGTCCATAGTGAGGCAGGACTGAGACATCTTTGGCATCTGGGAAGGCCTGAATCACTGAACCTACAATCCTACAGGCCAATGCACATCTCGTTGCAAGCTCTTTGGGATTTGCGATTGAAAATCACAGCTCTCCTTATGCTTTTGGGCTGTTAACGTCTGATAGCACAAACCTTGAACCTTGTTTAGCCGTTTAGCCTTGTTTCTGCGTCTCGGTTCCCGGCTGACTCAGCTGCACGTTGCGCTGCGCCAGCTGGTCGTGGAGAACCGTCAGCCTTGGACCACAATATAATATAATATATTATATTATATTATATTATATTATATTATATTTTATTGTATTATATTATATTATATTATATTATATTATATTATATTATATTATATTATATTATATTTTCAGCTAAGTCAGCAATCACCTGAACAGCTGAATCATCTCGTTGTAACTTAGAGAAAGCGCAATCGGCCTGGTTCCACAACAAAAACACATACTTAGCAATGTCCTAAACGATGCCTATGCAGCAAAGTGTGCTAAAACTTCAGACCAGTGCCAATACAGAACTAAAGGTTACAGACGAGACAATCCGAAAAGTCAGAGATGCACAGCAGTCAGCACTGTGCGAGAGCATTTTCCTTCTGCCTCCTGCAAACCGCAGCCATGACCATGAGACTCCATACTGAAGCTTGGCTGAACTCTTTTGCTCGGACCCGTCTCTCTGTGCGAAGCTGACTCCAGCAACCTTTTTGAATATATCTCCAAGCACATCTTGCTGCAAGCGGCTGGTTCCGGAGTAGGGCGTTCTCGACATCCCGTTCCAAGTGCCACACTGGCTCCTGGCAGGATTCGGAGTTGGTGCCGCGATCCATGATCCGCACTGTTCCAACGCCGAGCACAGATGTCTGAGATCTGAAGAAACCCGTGCACTGATGGAAAAGTCCACGCCTTGCTGGATGCTTTCTTCTTTTTCGCCATGGCTCGGATGGACGATGTTTTCGTGTCTGCCTCTTAGACTCCAATGCGGCAATCTCGCCCGCTATAAGAGCAGGCAGTAGACGAGGCAAATCTCATCTAGGTGAGCATCGAATCTAATTGCAATACCTGACTACAACACTGCCAGGGAATATCACAATGTTCAGACTGACTGAGTGCAAGCGTGGTGCGCAGAACAATGATCTTACCAGGCAATGCTGCCTTTTTCCCAGCCACAACACACACACACAAAATGCAGATAAACTCCACTTGTTGCCACAACAATTGTCAAAGACTCCCCGAGGAACCAGTTCTCTGAAGGCAACCATTGATGCTGCAGAGTACGACCCAATGCAAGCCAAAGCCTGAAAGCAACTTGAAATGACACACTGACGAATGACAATGCGAATGTATGCTCACCACTACATAGCCTCACCTATGTCAAGCAAATCAGTGAAGAACGGTAATTGAGGTAAAGCACCGTAGAGGAAATGATGACCCTCGTTTGATGTCCAGAGAAAATGAAGCACCTAGGGTGAAATCTCCGAAGCAGTACTTGATTAGATCAATCACCCGCTCAGTGAATGCACGAATTGCAATGTGCCTGTTTGAAGTCAGCAATCCTTAAAGAATGGGTCTGAACAATCACCGCAAGTGTCGATCCAATGCCTCGTTTGCATGCCAACTCCCAATAAAACGGCGCATACCGTCGAGATCTCAATCTTAGCAGTCTATACTCCAAGCAAAACACTTATGCCAATGAGTCCCAATCGGACGGAGTATCGCCAAACGCCAATGAACCGCTTAAACGTGAAGACGAATGTGCCAAACTCCAATGAGCCGCCTAAACGTGAAGACGAATGTGCCAATGAATCATGCCGCGATCTCGAGATAGTGACAGAGAGTGGCGCGCAATGACAGGGGAACATGTATGACAAATGCCTTGGTCGCACTCAATCAGACGAGATGAACTGTACACTGAGATCACTGCCACAATTCACAACAGTATATAGTGACAGGATCATGACAGTCAATCATGCGCTCAAGTACCAATTAAGGAGGCGTGACGGCACATTCAATGACGTCGACTGCCAGAAACGAAATGTCGCAAAGTAGTTGCGCAATGGTTGAATGTCATATAAAGGAATGAGTTCTCAGTCAACTCAGATCGATCTTACTCATGATAGAAAGCGAGGCACCAGTGCAACAGAAGAGGCCGGCGAACAGGAATTATCGGATGCCACCTAGACCGTCTTGATTACGTCAATGGCTCATGTCCGAAACAGTGGTTTCGCAGAGGGTACCGATCATCAACCCACCTAAACTAAACATAAGTCCGCGGACACCTGGACAATCAATCACATCAACAGATGCCACATGATAGCTGACAATGGCAAACACAACCATGTTGATCCAAAACACTGACAATGATCCTACTGGGGAAGAGCCGCACAATGAAAGTGCAGACGCCTTTGGAATGATGCTTCAATTAAAATGCATATTCCATCAGTGCCGTCGCTCCTTTAATGGAGGGGTTCACATTCGTTCGCTCTGTGGACGTTCAAGGCTGAGCCAAGCGCACGCAAGGAATATGAGCCAACCTCCGGTCGTCAAGATGTTAGATGCATGGATTGTCATCTAGTCTCTATGATCGTCGTCAACAAAGGAAAGATGATGCAGCAGTCTGAGGCCCCCGGCTGGTCCGGAGTTCCTGCTGGCTTTGCAGGATCGTGGAGGCTCTTACTGTAGCGTCCAAGGTCGACGGCATTTTGGGGGCTCGGGGGCATTGAAAGCCAAAGCAGATGCTGCAGGAAAATCAAAAATGCGATTCCGATCCTGCGCAGATGAAACAGATCCCGGAACGCCGTCGGGGAATCCTGGGGTATATCGGTATATCCCAGGAACCACATTAACTACTTGACCCCTGTGAGCCTCACTCCCTGCCCCGTCCCCTCTCCCCCGCTCAGTGTGTCACAAAGCCGTGACTTTTCAACCATGCAGTACACCATCATGATGTCTCCGAACCTCATGCAACCCCTGCTGTGCTTGGCCTGTTCTCTCCAGAGGCCATGAACAACCTTCGGGGAATCTGCAGAAAGATACTTGGAGAAAGGTGCCGGGCATTGTCCTTGCTGCAACTTGCGGAGGTTGCCACTGGAACCTGTAACGCTGATGGAGAAGCCGCGGGATTGGAAACTCAGGGCGTGTATAGAAAAGACTGAACTGCTTCAGAATACATAGAAGTTCTCGGGTTGCAACAGTCGCTTCGCTGCTCTCAGGACTACATCGCAACTCATATCTGGAAAGAAATGCGGCCATCAGTGCAGCTCTACTAGTAGTGAATGCGCAGCTACGGCTACGCCACACGGCGCATCGGCGCAAGCAGCAACCAGTCGCAAGCTGATCCATAAAAAACTCACCAGACAAAAGGGATCATGTCCAGGCCGGTGTCTCAACCAAAGCTTAGAAACCTGAAAAAAATATCCAAGTCCGCATACAGTCTTAGCATGCTATGTATGCCTCGGCCGTCCCGGTGTCTGACAGACAGGCGCAGACTCGAATCCAGCAACCATCCCGGACACGCCCAGAACTCAGTTTTCAAACCTGCCCCCCCCTCTCCGAAACCCGAGACCCGACCCTGCACCTCCTTCGGCTACATGATAGCAGGCCTCAGCCACCAAACCCAAACTACCACGTTTAAGGATGACGCAGGCTGTTGGGGTTTGGAAGATTTAGAAGTGGGCTAGTGCCCTTCAATTGGCGTTTATTACCGCGATTTAGGATGTTGCCCTTCTGTAGACAAGTTGACCTTTGCAGGCTGTAAGCTCATAGCCAACACTTCTGAATGTTGCGATTTCGTGTGAGTTGCCAGGACTAGCGGCGCCATCGACTTTCGTGACGGAGGGATCCAGAGCACGGCTCCGGTCTCAAGGTTCACAGGTTTAGAGCGCTCAGTTCAATTGTAGCTTAGACGTTCGATTCGAGGCTTGATCAATAAGCCGCTCACCCTTAAAATCATGGCACCCACCAACACCGAACCTCGCCAACCTCGCCTCCGTGAAGGGGCTTCCGGGGGTCTTCGCTGCAGTGCTTTCTG